AAAAAAAAAAAAAAAAAAAAAAAAAAAAAAAAACTTTTTCTGGAAATTTAATTGGTGTAAAAAATTAGTGCTTCGTTTCAAAAATTCGTTATTTTTACCAGAATTAATGAATTAAAGATTTTATACATGTAGCATCTGATGTGACTTCAGGACACCGATGAAAAGTTCTAGGCGATTATCACCACTTTTGTTTTCGTCAAGTAACTCTTTTAATAGATATTTGTACAGCGTTCGAATATATGGGGAATTTTCATCGAAAATTTATAAAATTGGTAGATTTTGCTATTGTATTTAGTTTGCACATAAATTTATATGATTTTTGACAATATTTTTACTACCAAAATTGTGAAAATTGTTGCTGCTCAAGATGTTTGAACAGAGGAAAATTTGTATTTGTTATGAAGTTGGTTCAGCAATCAGATTTTTAAATTTTGCTGAAATCCAAGAGTAGGAACAGTTACCGAAATTGCAATTAAAAAATCTATTGAAATTTTACATTTGATTGATCATTGCCAAACTAGTTGGCCAAGATTGATTTTTGCTTTTAGATCATTTTGATACATTGAACATGAGCAGAAAAACTACAAGAAAAAAAGGACTCGGATACTAATACTAAATTGCTGAAATGTGTAAACAGTTTAGATGATACTCGTCGTTGACCAGTTGGTATCATTGTATGTGTAAATTAGGCTTTAGAGATTGATGCAGCTTTTCCTTTTTTCTCCTCAGTGGTCTACAAACTTTCTGTTACTTGTCTGCTTGTTTTCAGTCATTTTTGAGAGGTTTACAAATTTACAGTACTAAGTATAACGATTGAAAAACGGCAAGAATTTGCTCATCTGAATATAATAAATTTTGAAGTGGTATAATTCTTGAAATATCAGCTACTTTTTTTTCTTTTGTAATATTTTTATATTAACAGAAAACGAATTATATATTTAAGGTTTATTTATTTTTTATGTCACATAAAATATCTCAAGCAAAAAATTATGGTACAAATAAAATTTCTAAAATGTTTCTAAAAATTTCTAAAGGGAGAAAAAGATATGTTCAACTGATTTCCCATTACTTTTTTCAGTAGCAGTCATTACCTTTTTATTTTCAGCAGGTGTTTACAGAATTTTTGCCATTAAATCATTTTTAGGTTTTTAGCTTTGTTCTTCGCTGTTTTTGCTCTTTATACCTTTAATGCTTTTTTTAAATTATTTTTCTCTATCGTACCTTTGCCGTATTTTCGCTTCATTTTTTCAACATTTTTTTTCAGCATGACAGAAGAATTCCGAGCTGAAGAGAGTGTATTTAAATAATACTGTATGGTGTCAGTGTTCTGCGATTTCGATAGCTCGTTATTTTCAGAGTACTGAATATGAGACTTATGCATATGATCACGGTTCTCGTTGAATTCGTGACTGCTACATTTATAGTTGTTTCGGTGCGTCTGATGGGGACATTTATTGTCATTGTTGTCGTTGTTGTTATCGTTGTTGTCATCATGACTGTGATCAGAGTAGTCAGATGTACGTTGATGATGTTGATGATCTGTGGCTTCGCTGGAACTTTGGTGATTACTGATGTTGTCTAGTTTATAATAATATTTGTTTTTTCACGTGTAATATGGTTCGTATTTATTTTGTTATTAAATTCAGCAACTACTCACTTTACAGTAATCTCTTGTCTTATCTTCAAATTGATTATTCAAGCAGCTATAGATTGAAATTTAAATTTTTTTCAGACCTTAAAACAGTTTTTTTAAATCAACTTTTCAAAACTTTAAACTGTACTGGTTTTACCAAAAAAAGGTGCACCAAACCATTGTCAAGCTACTGTAGAGCGACATTGTTCAATGAATGAATTTACAAAGTAGAGATTTTACCGTATCTTTATCTGCAATCAGTGGTATAAAGATTTGGACAAGCATTGATAAAGTGATAAGAACAGTCATTTTTGATTGGTATAAAGGTGTCGGTTATGCTGAACAGCAAATTATTGACTTTTTTATATTACGCACTTCCAAGATATTAAAGCGCTTTACTTCATATTGGTCACCTGAGAAACAAGTATTACCCTAATATGTTACGGCAATGGTTGTTTAGGTTAATGAGCAAAAAAAAAGTTATGTAGTAATATTTTGAAAGAAAAAAAGCATTATGTAGTTACAGAAAAGTAAACGTTGAAGTTGTGAATTAGTTAAACCAAAAATATTCTTTATTTAATTGACTAATAAAATTTGACTTATATCATTAAATTTTTTTTGTATGAGTAATTTTCGTCATTAAAAAGTTGTACCGTTTTATGAAAACTTTATCAAAAGAATGTTAAAACAGTTAAAATCTAAAGTTTTCACTACTGAAAGTAATAAATATCGTTTGTCGGAAACAAATGATACATGTTGAGCGGTGGCGATGCTGTCAATGACGACGTCAAAGATGATGACGACGTAGACGACGAAAAATATCTGCTCCAATGGAAATTTATAATTCTTTCCTTGTCATATTGTTCTTCATCTATACAAATCGTTCACAAGTGTTTTTAGAACTGGTTGCATCACCTTACTCTGACATCGACTTAGCAAGTAATTTTCATAGCAAGACAGTTTTGAAGCTGTCTTTTACAGTATATTTTTTACTAGAAATCAGCAAAAATTTTTTCATATAGACAGTAATAATTATGTTCTTTAAGTGATTGGCATCTGTGATATTTAGGTGCCGATATATTAACACACAAGACAGACGTACAGAACGATTTCGCCTACTTGTCAACTTCAAAAAACACGACGTTTAGCTGAAAGTAGAAAATGTTGGTAAATTTGTAGCTTTTCATAAAATTAACAATTAGTGAACTAATTTTATTGAATGTGACAAAATTATTAAACTTGCATTATAAAACCGTTCCTGACTTTGAGAAGAAAAAGCAGTCGAAATAGTTTGTGGACTATAGCTTTATCACACAAATGTTGAATAAAACTGTGGTTATATATAATGTCCCTTTTCATTCTAGTCACACTTTTGTTTTTCAATTGATACCTCAGAAATTTTCCAAACTTCAACAATTAGTGGAATGTAGGCCAATATATTGAAAACTGAGGAGATGACCTGGAAAAATTAATTCCTTGCCAAGTTAGGTCTTTTTCAAAGTGGCAAAATTTGCCAGAGCGCCGCTTGAAATGCCTAACTTTAGAAACTTGTAGTTTAGTCAAACCTTAGCAAGGATTAATGGCTTTTTAAAGCTGTGAAGTCTCCTGGTTCTAAACGCATATTATTTTATTTGATTCTAGTAAACATTAAATAGTTCCAGTAAAATATTCAAAAAAAAGTGCAGAAAAACATATTTTTAATTTTTAAAGGATGTTTTGCGCAGGTTTTTATTTCTTTTGATAAATAACAAATTGGTAATGTTATTCTGCATGGGTCTAGACTTACGAACCTTAAAAGAATATGTGACTATAGAAAAACTACTTCTATAAGGGTATATTACGGCGACGAAACTGTTCTCAGATGCATTAAAAACGAATGTGAAAATTTGGTATGTTTTAATCATTAAAAAATTGCTAACAAAGTTGGGTTTAAGTTTAAAATATTAGAAATTATTAGTCTGTACACTAAAATGTAGTTTTTATTCTAGCGTCTTCCACCTCCTGTCTTCTTCTTGTCGGAATCGTGCAGCTATTATATATTTTGGCAACGCAAGAAAGTGTAAGAATTTAACGATTTGCTAGTTAGGAGCAGAGAGCTGGTTTTCTCCAAAAATTTTGATAGGCCAGCGGGTTCAAAGTACTGCAGCAATTGATGGTAAGAGGAAAACGATAAGTGTCGCTTGCTTGTGCAACCGTAACTCCAAGCAGTGAATTACGAATACTTTCCTGGAAGATAAAGAGTCTTTTCCTTTGCTAACTTCTGTATAAAGTTAACGTCTTATCAGACAATATATGTGCTTTGGTTTTTTGTAAGCTAAATTACCGTATCGACCTTAATGAACTGCGTGTTTCGTAAGACAGAAAACCCTAAAACGAGGGGAACTGTTTAGAACTCTGCAGAACAACAAATCTGCAAACCTCATGAAGCAAAACTTAACTTTTTAACAAGTCTTCAATGACTAAAACACACCAAATTTCATAGCCTTACTGTAACTTTGAGAAGCAGCTGGGAACCGTCTCACCACTATAAAATGCTAGGAAACGCTGTAACAAAGTCGTTTCTTCCTAAGTCATAAATTTTTTTCTTGTTTGTAACTCTTGACTCAAGCAAAGTAACTTTATCACTTTGCAGTTTAATATTAAGTAAAAAATCTACATTAACTTTCTTTAAAAGTTGTAAATGTGTTGTTCTGTATTTTTAAGTTTCTTAATACATTTATAGTCCGTTTTATTTCTAATTTGGTGCTAAAATTCTTTTGTGGTAGGATGGGAGCTACAGTAGTCAAATCGGCTGGCAACTCATTAAAAGTTGTGACCAACGTTCACAATAGGCATTGTTTAGCTCTTTTATTTTTGGAAACCTGCGAGTGGTTTTTCGACACAATTTGATTCCGTAGATTTGTAGCTATCGATTTATTGCTATCTCATGTTGATCTGTAGCTTCGTTGCCGACATATTTGCCGAAATGTGAAGTTGAAGCTCATTTTTAAATTGCCTTTTTCTGTGATTTTGTATTAAAAAGGATGTTTGGAACATACAATTTTTTTCTTTTTTTTCCA